CCATCGACTGGCCAAAAAAAAATGATAATAATAAATTTGTGATTTATATGCACTTATTTGTATTTATTACTTGTATTATTAGTTAACTATGCGCTAATTAGTTAATAAAAGCATTGAACACAAATTAATTCTCATTTTTTTCTTGTTTTGTCGATGGTATTCTCTTCGGCAAAGTGCAATTTTCACGATGCAAGTTCAAGATAATTGAAAAAAAAATATACATTTTTGTAAAGTAGAAAAATCGGGCTTTCTGACGATGACAAAATATACAGGGTGTTTCATTAAAAATAAGTCATTTTATTTCAAAAAATCGCATGTCTGTAGAACCAAATTTCAGCAAATTTTAGGATGCGGCAATAATGTGAAAAAAAACTTTAAAAAAATCCTTGTTCTTCCAGAACAAACCGCATCACGTTATGTTTTCTCGCTTTCGAAATATTTACCTGCAAAATGTGTCAGTTTATCTAAGGACACCCTGTAGATTGTTAACATTGTTCTATTCGTTTTTCTCCTGAAGGGTTTCTGGTGGTCTCATTATTCAACTTCTGCTATCTATTTTATCAGGGTCTGGTTGGATTCCATTACTTGAGAATAGATATCCGAAAAGCTTGATCTTTGCGACACTGAAAATATATTCTGAAGGGTTTAATTGTAAGTTGGATGAGCTCCTCGTAATTATTTTCCTAATAGTGCTTATTCCAAGATGTTTTCGACTCTTTTTTCAAAAACTGATAGGTATGTCATCGCTGTAATTGATTACACCTGTAATGTTAGCAATAACCTGTCTCATAGAAAAATTTCCAGCATTAACTCCAATGCTTAATGATAAAACACCTGCGTGTGTCGAAAAAGTGGTTATATACCTACTTTATTCGCTCAACGTTGGTTGGTGGTATGTATCCATCTTTTAAATCAATGATGTTTTACAGTACTGATCCGTTTTATTGATTGCTGATGTCATCAAGTGTTGGAGTAACATGAGTTTTTCTAAAAATCGCTTTGTTAGCGGATTTGACAACCTTAGGATCTCTTTGTTTCGTTCGGAGAGGTTAATAGGTCTGTTTCTGCAGAAATTACAAACCAGTCAGAGCGAAGTTCATTGGTTGAAAACAGTCAGAAACAGTCAGAAAACTAGTTTCAACCAATGAAATTCACTCTGACTGGTTTGTGATTTCTGCAGAAACAGACCTAATATTCGAGTATGGGACTGATAGGAGGTTTGCAAGACCCTTCAAGACCCAAATCCAAGTATCGTTAGATTTTCTCAGTTCCTCAGTGTTCCAATTAAGTAGTTAATGCACAAATGGAATTTCCCTGCATTCGTTTCCTTTCCTGTGTGTGAGATGAGAAGATTGTATTTATGCAGTTTGAATATGAGTCCGGCATGCCAGACGCGGTCGAAAGCCTTCTCAACATCCAAGCACACGGCCCCGGTTGAGTTTTGGGGGAAGAGATCTTGTTTGGGCAGGACAATAAGCATTTGCTTCTGTTTTATTCATATGAGCCAATGACTATTGCTAGTTTTCAGGCTTGTGGAAAGTAAAGGAACTGAAGGCAACCATTATAAATGTTTTGTGAAAGGTTTTTGAGCAACTTATTGCTGATGGTGTTGTAGCCTGGAGCTTTCTTGCTTTTTGTAGCAGAGATGTAGGATTTTACGGCTTCAATCGAGACTAATGGCATTGAGTCACCAGCGGAGATCGGCAGCCAACAGATTTCTTTGGTTTCTTCTGTTGATATCCTCCTCGTAATCGATGTCATCGTCTGGATCGTCATTCAGCATGAACTGTGCCTCCAGCGTGTCGGCAAACGCATTTGCCTTCTCGCTGTTTGAGTAAACTAGCCTGTTTCTACTGTGAATTATGGGGATGAGTGGGCGTGGGCGCATTCTGTTTTGGAGAGATCTCTACTGATCTTCCATAGAGAATTATCATTCTCGTTTTTTGTTGTGACTTTTGATAATGTTGGTGAGTCTATTATTGGCTTCTAGTTTTTTGGTTGGGTCGATTGTCCTATTAGCTTGCCTTTTTCAGTCTGTTCCTCCTTTTTTGGATGAGTTTGAGCATTTGGGAGGGGAGGCAACGGATTGTTTTGGCGGGTGGTTATGGTGGTGTTGGTGTTCCAGGGAGGTGTGTATTTCTTGGGGAAGTTTTCTATGGCTTGGTAAATGTCGGGTGTGTGCAATGCGGGAGGGGACGTGAGCTTCCTGGGGGATGTTTCTGGACAGGGCTATGCCAAGTATTTCGGGGGTCATGTTGTGGATGTGAGTGGGTTCGTCAGGTGCATGTACTGTAATTTTTTTGTTAAGCTGTGGTTTTGGAGTAGAGTACCCGACCTGTTTGCACCCCTACATCCTCATGCTCTATTCTTGCAGTTGAGGTAACCCTTAACAATAGTAGGAGGCGGTCTGGGAACCACAGTCCAGGTCTTCTACGGTCAGGTGGTTTCTGGGGGGCCTGTATGCGCTGATAATTCTCAAGGCTCCGGAGGAGAGGTCCAACCAGGGTACGCACACAAAGAAAGCAGGTTAATCAGCGCCTCTTTCTTTCCGGCGCCGAAAATCAGCACCTACAAGTCATTTCACTAGTACACAATGAACGCCGGTTTTCGGCCAGTTTAGACGCAATTTCCATACCACAAAGATGTCTAGTTCATCTTCAGATGAAGACTTTTTATTGACGGAAAGTACATTCCTAAGGATGATGCAACGCACGGAGCAAGGTATACATCCAGAAGATCGTGAACGAAAACTTTATGGTGAATATCGCCATTTATTCCTTCTGCACTATATTCGTGTTGCTGTGGGACTTAAGTCGTTTGTCCCACAATGCATTTCTTTGAAAAATCGCAGAAATCAGTAATTTGACATCCATTATCGATGCAAGTCCAGCTCCGACCAGCGACCAAGAACTAAAAATTCATTCCGGTAAAAAGTCGGCGCCGATCTGCACTAGCAACAAGCACTTATCTGCTTTATCTGTGTGCGGGTTCATTTAAACGTGGATTTAATTATTGGTGCTTATAAACGCTTGTTACCAGCAAGCAGGCAACCTGCTTTCTTTGTGTGCGTACCCTGATAGCAGTCTGTTCCCTGTTCGCCGACACTCCGAGAGCTATGTTGTCATGTGGTATTTGGGAGCCGTGGGGCTCTGGCTGGACGCTGCCTTGCTGGCATTGGACTGGGCCGGGTTTCTGAACTGGGTGGAAGGTCTTTGGGGGGCTGATGAAATTTGGGTAGGAACTGGTTTTTTGCTGCTCTGGCGTGGTTACTGGTTAGACTTCTTGGGCAGTTTTGGTAGCTAGCAGGATGTGGCCTACCGCAATTTACGCATTTTGGGGGTGCCTGTTGGGGCTTTTTCGCACTGCGAGTAGAAATGATGGCCAGCGAATTAGTGGCATTTTGCTTTGGCATTGCAGTTTGATAGAGAATGGCTATATTGTTGGGTATTTATGGAATTGCGGGAAGTGTCTTTTGCCTTAAGATTTTTGGGGCTCGATTGTGACTGACATGTAACACAAGTGAGAGATTTTGAAGACGCCACTTGCAACGGTGGGGGGAATTAGAAGTTTGACTAGTGAGGAAGTCTGGACCGTACTTTTGACTAGGCATAAATCTCTGAACTTCTTAAGGGAAGAAGCCCATGTCTTCAAGTCTCTCCTCAATTTCGGAAATGTCTTGGGTGCCATCAGGCCCTTTATGATGGCGTTTTGAAATTTGTCTTCAGGCAGGAATTGAGTGTAATATTCAAGGGGTAAGAGAAATACCCAAACGGTGCTTTTTGGTGCCGCTGAATGTGTACCCCCTGTGATTTGGGTTTTGAGATATTTCTGAGTATTATGGGTAATACTGGCCGATAATTTTCTTTGAACTCACTGATTTGCGGTTGCGGTGGTTCATGCGAATTTTGGTTGGAGTTTGATTGAGACGGGTTCTGGGAATTTTGGGATGAGGTAGGTTCTGGGAACTTTGTTTTGAGTTGGGCTCTAACCAACTAGTTGGTTAGAGCGTAGCACCGGCAATGCTGAAGACGCGGGTTCGAATCCCGCCCAAGACCAAAATTTTTTATCCTCCAATTTTCCTTAACTTTCACTTCATTTTCAGTTTACCTTTAAGTCTAGAGTACTCAGAGTTATGCTTAACCAGGAGTGACTTGCTCTTGCTATTGAGAAACCGGCCCTTAAAGTATTAGTGTAAAACCTAGTACTCATAACCGCGAATTGCGGATTTTTATTTTGCGGATAACGGTACTAGGCTTAAGGGTGGATTTTCATGCATCCGTTTGTCCGACGAAAGATTTCCGTTAAACATTCTATTCTGACATAATCGTATAAAAATATGTCAAAATAGAAGATTTAGCGGACATATTTCGTCGGACAAACGGATGCATGAAAATCCACCCTAAAGCCTAGTACTCATAACTGCGAAATTCGCATTTTTTTGACATTGCTTCGACAATTTGACGTTTGATACACGCATAAAACGTCAAATTGTCAACGCAATGTCAAAAAAATGCGAATTTCGCATTTATGAGTACTAGGCTTAACTCGGTCAATTTGTCAACACCTTTTTTTTTTTTTTTTTTTTTTTTTTTTTTTTTTTACGGATATGCGCACTCGCAAGGAAATGTCCTATCACGCTCGAGAAGCGGCAAGTGCGCGGAAATGTCGGTGTATGTTGGTCTTGAAACGGTTCGACCTTGATGGAATGATATTGGCCAACTTGGGTTTTAACTAAGGCGAAATACGTACCTACTCACTTTCTTCTATTTAAATTTAATTAAAAGTTTAATAAAACGGAAGAAAACATCGAAAAAACATCGCAAAAAATATCGATGTTCCCTAATAATATCGAATAAAAAAACATCGAACATCCAAATAAATAAATCGATGTTCATGAAGCATCGATAGATCGTGCGCATCCCTATTTTGTTGCTTCTTTTTCTTGTATTTGTTCTAACCTAACTTCATACCTTCATACTTGGTAGTACCTGGTACTTTTGTAAAAGACTCGAAAAACCGAAAACACCTTGTTCTTCCACTTTCCTATATATTTTGAAATTCCAATTCCAATCAATAGTCTATTCAATATTCGTATGTCGTGCCGTGTATGTGTAATGTTCAATTTGGTATCGCCATATTAGTTTTTCCTTGTTTTTGTTTTCAAAACATTCCTTTGTTTACTGTTTATTTTGTTTATATATAATTTATCAAAAATAGGGGCCTTAAGTAGTACTATCCTTTATAAAACCAAAATGTTAGATTCAGATGCGGATCTGACAATTGATGCAATACCTAGCCCACCTAGGAGTCCTACTAGTCGTAAGAACAAAGAAAATATTTATGCTCAAAATGATAATGAGAAAATACCAACAAAATCAATTAAGAAGATGGAACATGTTGAAGAAAAAGAACCTGATGATGATGATTATTGTGAGCCCAACGAAAGTTCATATGAAAAACCCCCTGAAAAACCAGGTAAGGGACATCCTTAGTTTATGTTTATAACTATAGGTACCTAAACTAGTCAAAACGAAATAAGGACCACTTTTAAAAAAAACAACTTTATTTTTAATAAATTTTGTATAACCTTGGTGAAGATGTTTGTTTCCATTTACAATATAATTTTTTTTGCACACCTTATTTGTTTATCTATATTGTAAATGGAGATATTCAGTTTACGTTAGTCTAGGAAAATAGTCGAAAAATACATGCATTGCAAAAAAAAAATTCCTACCCAAATGAACTTTTCAGGGATGATAGGGGGCGGGTGGGTGATCATAAAACCAAAAATATCAAACATTCACCCCTCTGGCGTTTTGCACTATAGGGGTTGAAAGTGCGCCATTGGCGATTACTTGGTACCTATTGATTTTACAAAAAAATGTTTCAAATAAAAGATGTACAACATTATTTGATCTACAATGTTTATCTAAAGACTTTTTTGATTAAGGGCCGTCTGTGGTCACAAGGGCCGTTTGAAATTTTATAATGAAAATGAAAAATTTTAACCAACGTGAAAAAAATTTCTACAACACACAGAACATTTTTGCTTTATGAAGTTTTTACTTATAGTCTAAGAGCCAGTGAACTTTTCGCGTAAAAAGTTGCCGATGGACAATTTCTTGCTTAAACGATGCAGTTTTATCCCCCGTGATCTAAAACCACAGTCTGGCAGCATGTAGTGGGGAAGTTTGGCTTAGGCATAATTAATTAGTCCATAAAAAAATCACAAAATTCGAAATACTTGCCGATGGTTAATTTTTGCGGCATATCATCCAAAAGTTTGCCATTAACAAGGCTGTAATAATGCCAGACGGTTTTCAAGGGTTTAAAGCCTTGCCAGACGCTCCCAAAGTGCAAAAAAAAAATAATAAAAGATTCGAAATAATTGCCGAAGCCTGTTTTTTTTCCACATTTAAGAGAAAAAATTGCTAATCGAACAAACCTAGTGCCAGGCGGTTTTATCGAGGATTAATTTTTGCCAGACGACGCCAAAGTTCGGTATTTTACGCGTCTGTGAACCCACACATACATACGCCACGTCGGGTAGGGATAATATGCCGTGGTCACACGTCGGTGATTCCGTACGAGAGCGAATGAGAGGGAGAGACAAGGAGTGAGTGGGACAGAAGCATTTGTATAATATATCAATGAACTAAATACTACACGTAACTGGAATGGATCCGACCATTGTCGGATATGGCATTTATCGCTCTGTGTGTCCAAAGATAGCTATACACGATGATTTACGTAGCCCGTGCATTAGATTGCAGGTGGATTAGATGCTATCTCTACTAATCCACCTGCAATCTGGATCCGTATTCTCGAAACCAGGGAACAGCGTTCTCAAAAGAACGATTGCTCTGTCTTAGTCGCCCATATTGTTATTTCCATAATACTGACAAAGAGAGCAATCATTCTCTCGAGAACGCTGTTCCCCTGTAACGAGAATACGGGCCCTGGAAAACTTCTAATGCACGGGCTACGTAAATCACGGTGTATAGTGACGGCTACCTTTCTCTTTCTAGTTCATTGCTGTTAGGTTGGGTATATTCCTAACCCCAAATATAATATTTTTTAGACAAGGAAAAAAAAAATAAAAAACAAAGAAAATAAAATTTAGAGATAGGTATCCGTCACATTCTCCATCTCAATTTGCCCCAATTTTTTTAATCGGCGCGATCATTCCACGTACTTACGTGTAGTTTATAGTTCATTGTAATATAATTATATTCCCTTTTTTTCCTGTTAATTTTTTAATGAAATAAAATAAAATATAAATTATCGATTTGTAATTTTATTGAAATGTCAAAAAAAGGAAAAGCTAGCTTTTATGTATGATTTTGTGTAAAAATAATTCAATTTTTGCAATTTATACATATACGACCCACAACCCACCCATACTATGTGAGCTTATTATGATTACGTATTACGTAACCCGCCATTTCAGTTACTTTATGAGTTGTATTATATCCTCTCCTTATATCACTAGTAATTTAATAGGCTCATTAGGTAACTTATTTTTTATTTATGAATATTAAAAGTAAAACTGATTCCTGATGCTGATGACAGCATTTGCTGACAGCTGATTGCAGCGCTGTTTAAAGTCCTTGTTAAGAAAATATTTTTCTTCCAGCTTTGAGCTTTAAGGTCACCGAATAATCTATTGTGAAAAATCAAAACCATTTTGGATACATAAAACAAAAACCTAGGTCGTAGATAAAATGTTGTATATAACACGTAGGGTAACGCTCAATATAGCATATGGTTATCACGATTCTGTCTACAACCTCGTCGTAACAATATTTCCGTTTGATTCTCAATTTTTTTCTCATAAATTAAAAAAAAAAGGTTTCGGCAAGTATTTGGAAAATTTTATATTTTTTTTTTGCAATTTGCGGGCGTCTGGCAAGGCTTTAAACCCGTGAAAATCGTCTGGCATTATTATAGCCTTGTTAATGGAACATTTTTGAATAATATGCCGCAAAAATTTACCATCGGCAAGTATTTCGAATTTCGTGAATTTTTTAATGACTTATTAATTATGCCTACTCCAAACTTCCCCACTACATGCTGCCAGACTATGGTTTTCGATGTCGGGGGATAATATTACATCGTTTAAGCAAGAAATTTTCCATCTGCAACTTTTTACGAAAAAAAATTCACTGGCTCTTAGACTATCACCCCCTGCCGTTTTTCAATAGAGGTAGTTTAAAGTTTATTTATTTTTTTACAAAAAAATTTTCCCAATAAAAGTTTTATAAGATTACATTTCCTACAATTTTTCCCAATCAACTTTTTTTGTAACTCACCCCCATTCAGCAGGGGGACACTTCCCTTAGGGAAATTTTAGTTTTTAGGGGTATATATTAATTTTTTCTTTTCTTTTCGCGCCTTTAGTGCATATAAAAAGGTGCAATTAACATTGTATTAAAAGGATTTTTTTTCCACCACCTTTTTGTTTTTAGGGGTAGTTCGTCTATTTTCAACTTTACAAAAAAAAGATATAGAGAAACGTTGTTCAAAATAATAAAATGAACAAGTTTTCTTAATACATTTTTTTTGTAAAGTTGAAAATAGGCGAACTACCCCTCAAAACAAAAAGGTGGTGGAAAAAAAATCCTTTCAATACAATGTTAATGTAACTTTTTATATGCACTAAAGGCGAGAAAAGAAAAAAAAATTAATATATACCCCTAAAAACTGAAATTTCCCCGAGGGAAGTGTCCCCCCGCTGAATGGGGGCGAGTTACAAAAAAAGTTGATAAGAAAAAATTGTAGGAAATGTCATCTTATAAAACTTTTATTAAGAAAATTTTTTTGTAAAAAAATAAAAAAACTTTAAACTACCCCTATTGAAAAACGGTAGGGGGTGAGTAAAAACTTGATAAAACCATAATGTTGTATGTGTTGTAGACATTTTTTTCACATTGGTTAAAATTTTTCTATTTCATTATAAAATTTCAAACGGCCCTTATGACTACAGACGGCCCTTAATCAAAAAAGTCTTAAGACAAACATTGTAGATCAAATAATGTTGCACATCTTTTATTTGAAATATATTTTTTTTAAATCAATAGGTACCAAGTAATCGCCAATGGCGCACTTTCAACCCCTATAGCGCAAAACGCCAGAGGGGTGAATGTTTGATATTTTCGGTTTTATGATCACCCACCCTCCCCCTATCATCCCTGAAAAGTTCTTTTGGGTAGGATTTTTTTTTTTGAAAATCGACAATTTTCCTAGACTACGTGGGTAATTCAAAATTTAATAAAAACCAAGGTGCTTTTATTAGTGGTCCTTATTTCGTTTTGAGTAGTTTATATACTAATGCAAAAAATAATTTTCCTTACAGTGGTGAATGTTATTCAAATAATAAACTCCCCAAATACTCATGTTGGAAATACATACTATCATCACTTTGCTTCAAAAAAGGCTAAGAGTAGAGAATCCCCAAGGGAAAATAAAGAAATCATAGAACTTAAAAACAACCCTAAACCAGTGACGGAGAAGGATATTAATGTTGTCAAGGATTACATTGGGTATAAAAATAGCTGGGAGGATACTTTTATTGAACTAGGATTTTTACGATCTAAAATTCAGCAGCACCAGTACAGATTTGAGAGAGATTTTAATGGGGTTAGTAGTTGCCAATATGATAAACCTTGCTTGAATTAGCTTATATTTTAATCCAGATTAAAAATTAATCCGGATTGTCCATGGAAAATAAATATGTGATTTTTTAAAACCAAACCTTATTCTAATTATTATTATTTTTTAGCTGATAGCTTTCTTGCTAACAGTTTGGAAACAAGAAAATGGTAAGGCAGCCACCGTGTCCAAGTTAGCAAATGTGCTTTGGGACACAAACCAACATGAAGCCCTTATATATTGGTCTTCAAAATATGATGTTCTACATAAAAATAATGCATAATTTTCATTGTAATATAATTTTTGTATCAGATAATAATTATAATGTGTACCTACCTACTTGCAAGCAAGATGGAAGGCTAGTACTGAAATACTTCACCAAAGCTTAGATCATGAAGAAAAAAATTGCAATTTGGTGCCTATAGGTAGGTAGGTACCTATACATCCAGAAACAGTGAAAAAATCGTTTTGCTAATATCATCATATTTATGACTGGTGATTTTATTTTGCAAATTCAAAGGGATACTAAAATGTATTTAGAAGTCCTAGTTAGTTCTTATTAAAAAAATTGGGTTGCCCAAAGTCAAAAGCTACCTGATTTTAACTTTATGGCGGTTTTCTTGTAAAAAGGAAAAATAATTACTAATAATTGTGTGTATTGTATAATTCGATAAATGAACTAAATTATTGCTTTTATCACTATAAAGTCAATACAGGCCAATCCCTTTTTTGCACATAAATAATATACATATTATGGTTTGCTATCCAACACTTTGGATGAATCTGTCTATTGTGTTGGGCTTTTCCGGGGGCTTTTCATATCTACCCTACCTGTGTAATTCAATATTCCTTACTGTCTTATACAGTGTCATTACTTAAGTGTGCAACATATGGGATTTTTTTTTAGGAATAGCAGTAATAGCACAATCAAAATACAAACAAGGCCAAAAGTTGGTGCATGTCTGATAATCATATTAGGTGCACTTAGAATGGTTGCAAGTCAAACAGCATACAGGGTGGCTCAAAAAATATCAAAATTCTACTAATATTTACTTAAATAAAATAAAACTTTTGCACTTTAAGGAGAGTTTTTTTAATATGGCTATTATCATTAGCAATGTTTTAACTTGTTAAAAAAAAATTGCGACATTTTAAAGTTGTGTTGAATATAATTGCAACAAACATGAATTTTGTGATTCCATAAAAAATTAAAAATCTAAGTTAATTTTACAAATATGCTTGAATTTGAACAAAGTTATGTAAAATTGATTTGATTTTAATTAATTTTTGAAAGTATTAAGGGCGGAAAAAAAAAATATAGAAATTATAGATTTTTTTCGAAAGAAAATAAAAAAAATCTTAGGAGGCTATGTTTTGGTATTTAGGCATAACTTTTAATTCCAAACAACTTTTCCTTATAACATTTTGCTGAATTTTCTAAAATAAGTGTACTTTACAGTACAGCTTTGATATTGTTTGAGCTACCCTGTATGCTGTTTGACTTGCAACCATTCTAAGTGCACCCAATATGATTATCAGACATGCACCAACTTTTGGCCTTGTTTGTATTTGGGTTGTGTTATTACTAAAAAAAATCCCCATATGTTGCACACTTAAAAAATCACACTGTATAGATAGTGCCTATATACAGGGTGTTCCGAAACTGTTGTGCCAAAAATTAAGGGATGATAGATCGCGCCAAAATAAACGTTTTTTACTCATAAACACATAGGCGCATGCGCTTTGGTTATGTGATAATAGAACATTAGGCATTCCAGGTCACCTGACTTTGACAAGGTCCGCCATATTTGCTGAGGGGCAAACAAAGCCTATAGATCATATTGTTTACAGTGTTTTTTGAGTTTGGTGCTTCGGAATTTTTGCGTTTTTTGATTTGTTCAATAAGTTTTAAGTTGTTTTTAGTTTTTGTGAATGAATGAATGAATCTTTATTTACAGACATGCCATTTTACATTTCAACTCAACAATAGTAAACAAACAATTTATTAACAAAAATAATGCTTAAGAATCTAAATTGTTTAAAAAATAAAAAAGTTTGATACTAACAACCTTACAAATAAACTTTAGCAAAATAAATTTGTGGTAGAATGACTCCTTAAACGTTTTGACTGTTCTGATCGGTGCACAGATCTGGCATGTAGCTTAGCTTACTGGCTTGTTCATTCTGGGCTTTTATCTATTATCGTAGTATATCCAAAATTTGTACTGGGGACCCAATCCGGATTTTTGCAACCTTAAATTCTGCTGGACTACCTAAAAGGTATTAAAAGTTACCTACTTGCAGAAACATAAACAACTTTTTTGATATACCGAGATGAAGTGTTTTTGTATTTTAACAAGACAGTCATAAAACTTACCATTAACAAAATGTTTCGAACAAATTCGAGCATTTTCAACAACGTTACAGTCAAATCTCCCCTTTTGAGGCATCTAATTCACATACTCCGTTGTTTTTTTGATAGCTCGTCTATGCGATCCCCTTGATCTTTAAATGCTGCTGGAATCCTAAAAAACCTCACTTTATCCCTTTCAGCTCTATTGGAGCACCCAAAAACGCCACAAAACGAAGGCATCTTCACAAAATAATACTTCAAAAATTCTCGGTTTGTGTTTGCCCCTCAGCTAAAATGGCGGATCGGTTATGACGTCAACCTGGAATGCCTAATTACAGGTCGCGTTGTGGTAGCCACCCAGGGCCGTGCTAAGCACGCGCGGGCCCCAGTACAGCTATTCCAACGGGCCCCCTTAAAGTCTTTTTTGATAGTCACGAATGCTCAAATTTTTATCCAAAAGTCGTTAAAAAAACATGCCTCGGGTATAATTTTTTTAGGTATTTTTGAAGTGCTCTTTGCACAAAAATTCCGATCGCGTGAGGGTCGTAAGGGGAGTATGGACCGCGCATCAGCAGCGACTGGAGTAGGCTTGTCGCTTGATTGAGAGAGATACATTACGTTCCGGTATTTTTGTTCTCAGTTTTCGAATTTGACAGAAAAATAATCAGGGGTTTGAATGTGCTCTTATACCAGATCATACAGATTACAGACCTTGTCCCATGCAAAACCTTGTTAAATTTAATGACGTGTCAAATTCGTTATCAAGATCAAAAATTCTAATTTAATTTAATCTCCGGTTAAATTTAAAGTTGGTGTTAAATGATGGTTTATGAATGTTACGGTTTTGCTCTTAAATTAAATAATGTCTAGGTTTTACAGCCTGTCAAATTTGCAAAAATCGAGGCAAAAATAGTATATTATTCAACGAGCGGATAATGATGGCTATTACTCACGAAGGATGAAGTTTGCACTACAAGCCGCAGGCGAGTAGTGTAATCATCCGAGTGAGTATAATAGTTATTACCTATGAGTAGAATACTATACTTTTTCTATGAATAATAGAAAATGAGCACGAGTTATGCGATTTTTTATTTAATTTTCGTAAGAAAATTAATTGACAATTCTGACAGCTGGAGGACAAAGTGAGGTTAGGTTAGCACAAGTCTTGTCCAAATCAGCTGTCAAAATGACCGATTGGAAGTTGAAGTATGTTTTCAACTTGTCGAATTTTCGAGTGGCTCTTAAATATGAGTGATCATTCACTTTGATCAATAGAAAATGGATGTACATTACGCATATTATTCAATACTCATAGAAAAAAGTTAACTTTCAACTGATGTCAATATTCCCAAAACACTCAAAACAGATGATAGGGTATATCACATGAAATCTGCTCAGAATTTAACATAGAATTCGAATATTCAATAATATATAGGGTATTCCATTCGAATAAAGGGAGTTGGACCATGACCAGCTTTTCTGAAACACTGTGGGTATATGCAAAAGTAAGTTGAAAAAAAAAATAGTTTCAACCATAAAACTTTTCTTTCGAGATATCGGACCGGGCCCCTACGGAACCCGGGCCCTGGTAATTTGTACCGGCCGCACCCCCCTATGCACGGCCCTGTAGCCACCTTACACACGGAGAAACGTGTTTGAAGCAGAAACTGTGTTATTAAATGATGCAAAACCCAACGAATGTTTGCAGTATTTAGTAAAAACAATGATTCACACTGAGCAAAAGATGCTCAAAGCTACGACCACCCACCTCCATACGCGCGTGACAGCGCCGTAGCATAGCCTCCTCAACACGTTGAAAAATTCATGGTGTTTCGAGAATTTCAGCAGCTGCTGCAACAATCCTTCCTACTAACTTCCTCTAGCTGTTTCAACTGGAGTGTCGTAAACAAGAGCTTTCATGTCCTCATAAAAAAAGTCGCATTCCGTCAGGTCTGGTGAACGTGGAGTCCATGCCCCCTTAACAGTCACTCTTTCCAGATGTTTCGGTTTCGTTGAGATGTACCCTTAAGGCTAACAGGTAATGTGGTGGTGGTCTGTCGTGTTGGTACCCTATGTTTTGTCTGGCATACAGGGAAACAGTTTCGGGAAGGGTTTCCTGCAGAAATCTACTCGATATTTCTGCTACAACGCTGTTACACATACATTGAGGCGGGTGGTCGTAGTTTTGAGCATCTTTTGATGTGAATCATTATTTTAAATAAATACTGCAATCATTCTTTGGGTTCACAGGCTCTGCTTATTCAAACACGTTTCTCCGTGTGCAAGGTGACTACCACAGTGCGGACTGTAATGTGAAGCGCATGCGCCTATGAGTTTATAAGTAAAAAACGTTTATTTTGGCGAGATCTATCATTCCTCAATTTTTAGCACAATAGTTTCGGAACACCCTGTATATCATTTGGTTAATTTAAATGTATAAAATGCATGTCTAAGTATATTTTTATTGGGTTTTGTTTTTTAAAGGGATGATATGTTTTATGTAATGTCCAGCTAATATTTTGCAATTTGCTGCCAGAGAATATGATGGTGCTGACTATGTTTGTAATAAAATTTATAATTATTTCTAGTACTTTTCCTGACTTATACATACCTACACCCTACACCTAAGAAATCCTAATTTCATTTTTCAAAAAAGGAATTTCTGTTCTGTTCTGTTTCAAAAGCGAAAGGTAATCCTTTAAATAAAAGTATCCAGCGAGCCGTATATCTGATATTCATCATAATAGTCGATTGTGCATTTTCTGATGGTTATATAAACCAATTCTGGAGCCGCACAATCTTCCGCAGTCTTGGCACAGGCAATCTCTGGCAGCATTGTCTCTTCCTCTGGCTCTCGCTCTTTCCTGCGGTCCCTCTTTTTGGTATTGTGTCTGCGTTGCTGTTCTTGAAAAGTTTGTGGTCTGTGGTCATATTTTCCTTTAGAATATTTTTATAGCGTTGTTGTTGTTGTCCTCCTTGATTTCGTTTTCCTGCTTTCACTTGACTGTAAAGAATCTGTTGTGGAAGACGTGTTTCGGGCATGTGGACGAGGTGACCTGTCCAGCGAAGTTGGTGCTTAATGATGAGGGTTTTCATGCTACTTGTTTTGTTTGGCCTCCTCTAAAACACTAATGTTCTTTCGTCGGTATTGCCATTTAATCCCTAGGATCCTTCGTAGGCATCGCTGGTCGTATTTTCCTAGGATTTTTATGTGTCCTCTGTAGGTGGTTCATGTTTCGCAGCCATAAGTAAGTGTTGACAACTTTGTAGACGCGAGGTTTAGTATCAGCGCTGATGTCGTGACACGCGTGACTCGTGTGATTGTTGAAGACGCGACTCTCTCTAGAAGTCGCCCGAACGCTGCGCTAGCACACTTCAAGCGATGTTGGATTTCAGCGTCAATGGTTGCCGGCAGATGGCTTCCAAGGTATGAGGAGTGTTCCACGTTCTGCGAAGAATGTTCATTTATATTAATATCTGGGACTGCGGGATTAGTAATATTAGTATCTGGTGCGAGTTAGTGCAGAATCTGCGTCTTGTTGAAGTTGTCCTTAGGCCGATTCTCCTGAATGCCTGGTTGAATGCATTGATAATTGTTTGAAGATCTTCCTCTGTATTAGCCATCGCGACGTTATCATCTGCAAATTGAAGTTCAATAATCGACGTCGTCGATAGTTTTGTCTTGGCTCCTAATCTGTTAAGGTTGAATAAGCCGCCATCAAGGCTGTACAGGATTTCCACATCTGACGGCAGGTGACCTCGACAAGGTGATATATGGATCCTATAAATAGAGAAAATAAACTAGGTGCAATAACACAGCCCTATTAAAAGCCTGTAGTTATTTTAAAAGACTCTCCTTGTCCATCGGTGCTTAGGAAGATTGCATTCATATTATCATGCATCAGGCGGAGTATCTGGATGTACTTTTGCGGACACCGAACCTTTGCCAATATCTTCCAAAGAGCTTCTATATTGACCGAATCAAATGCTTTGACTTAATCTATGAAGGTCATGTGTAGAGGGTGATTTTGTTCCCTGGATTTCTCTTGCATTCGTCTTGCACTGAAAATCATGTCAGCTGTAGTACATCGGTTGGGTCTAAAGCCACACTGTGTCTCTGGAAGGTTTTCTTTTCAGTTGGGATTACACGCATGGGCGTCGTTTGGGGGGGGCATTTGCCCCCCCCTAGCCCCGCCTAGAAATAGTCTTTTGAACAAGAAAGAAGTAAAAGATAGTTCGTATTCGTATTGCTTTTTTCCATTTTTTCAAAATTTGTTAGGTACCTTTTTCATAGTCTGGCGTAAAGACAATTACCTAAAGCTACTTTTACACTTGGAGAGTACTTGCCGTCACTAAACTTATTCATTGTTTTGTGTTTACATATTTTTAAGTTTATTTGCCAAACAGTAGAAAATAAAATGGCTCCAAGTAGGGTAGTGCGTGCTAGAATGCAAAAAAAAATAGGAAAAAACGAGTTTGGGTTAGAGATTGGATCAGACGTAGAAGTACCCACTCTTCTGGGTGCGTCGAAACGACTCTTGAAGGAGATATCAATTGAAGATCTTGATTCTTATAAGAATTTTATGAGATTATCATACCAAAAATTTCAAGAACCGTCAAGACTAGTTGAACCAAGCCTAAACTGACAAAGTCAGAAACGTAGATGAGAAGTCTTATTTCTCCTAAAATCAAATTGGAAGTCACATTACGATATCTTGCCACTGGTGATAGTTTTGCTTCCTTGTAGTAGGTATTAAGGTATTCATACAGAAACGTGGACGCTTGTTTTATACAGAAACGTGGACGCCTGTTTTTGTGATCCGTTTACCAGGGCCGGCCCTACCATAAGGCGAATGGAGCGCTCGCTCCAGGCGCCAGACCTCGAGGGGCGCCTGTGACTAGTTCCTTGGTGAAAAAAAAAAGAGAAAAATATGTTTCTGAAATCTGTTTAATCCGAAAGCCCCATTGAACGATATTTTTGCATTACAGCCCATGGCCTAATTTTTGATTTTTTCCTTGGAAATTTGGGATACTTTGGGAAATGTAGAATTTTTTCATATATCCAGGAGCCTTCTAGCTTAAACCACAGAATATATACCAAAATTTGAGTCGAAAAAAATCGAAGATGGCTGAGTTGCGATTTTTTTAATTCATAAGCCCCACTGAGTGATATTTCTGCATTACAGCCTATGGCCTGATTTCTGTTTCTTTTTTTTTTCCTGGAAATCTGGAATACTTTGGGAAATGTAGATTTTTTTTATATATCCAGGATCCTTTTAGCTTTGACATACTAAAATTTGATTGGATAAAAACCAAAGATAGCTGATGATGAGTTATGATTTTTTAAATCCGAAAGCCCCATTGAGTTATATTTTTGCATTACAGCCTATGGCCTGATTTCTGATTTTTTTTCTAGAAATCTGGGAAACCTGGAGGAGCCAACTATTTTTGGGCTTATTGAAGAAGCTTTTAGTTTCAACATATTAAAATTTCATTGAAAAATATTCCAGGATAACAAAGCTATGATTTTTAAAATTAAATAGACACACCTAGTGATATCTTTGCCATGACCTGATGACCTCATTCCTGATTTTTTTTCTAAAAATTCTGGAAACTTGGATTAACCAAATATTTTTTTATTTATTAAGGAAGCTTTTAGCTTCAAGATACTAAAATTTTATAGAGAAATAGCCCAGAATAACGGAGCTATAATTTTTAAAATCAGAAACACTTAGTGATATCTTTGCCATAGCCTGATAGCCTCATTCCTGATCTTTTTTCTAAAAATTCTGGAAACCTAGATTAACCATTTTTTTAAAATTTATTGAGGAAGCTTTTAGCCTCAACATCTTGAAACTTTATGGAGAAATAGTCCAGGATAACGGAGCTATGATTTTTACAATCAGATCGACACACTGCTCTGAATCCTGTCTTCGCTTTTCGATATTCTGCTTGCGAGCAAAAGGGTGGTAAGTCTGTGATAAGACAGCAGCCGAAACCCCCCAGCCAGTAGGTAGGAAGAGTCCAGCTGGCGTCTCCCAATACCAATTCCTGTGGCTGTGGCGCCTATACTGAATATCTCCTATTAAAGGGGGTGTAACCTTGAAATACAACTTGTATTCAGAAAATAAAGAAGAAAATTCTAGGAACTCTTGTGAAAATCTCGCATCGCTACTCAAATTGATAAGGTAGATACCTAAGACTAAATAAAGTTTTGTCTATTCATCACGTGACGTCATAAATATACGCAAAAATTGCAAAACCTATTTAAACTGACGCAGCAATAAATGTGAGAACGCGAAAACGATACGATAATGTCGATAATAGCTCTTTTCCAACCGACATGAGAAACGTTCTAGAACGGTAATTTCCAGTTGATCAATTCATTTGTCAAGTAGAATAAATGTTCAACTAGCTGGTTCTGGAACGGTTTTCCTGTCGGTTGGAACTGAGCTAGCATATGCAACAAGAATCAGCAAACGCGCGCCAGCGCCGGCTATCGGACTCAGTTTGTGCATATGACGTCACAGTTCTATGAGTAGGAATTTTATATTACAGTATCTTCGCAACGGTTGGTCGTAACCTAGTGCGGTTTGAAAATTTGTTCTTAGATTTCTTGTTTCTTCGAACAATATTTGAAAGAAAAAATACTTAAATTATTTTTTGAAGTATTTCTACGTGAATGTCATTTCAAGTACGCAAGTTTAATGGCGTTTCCGAGTAAATACTAACTTGACTCTGACTTTTGTGAAATTTGGTATTACTTGTCCTGGAATTTGGGCAATTCAAGTCAATTTACTTGACATTTTAGGTATTTTCTTTTGTACTTATACTTGTACTGGTACTTGATTCGTATTAAAAAGAAACTTATACTTGACACTTAAGTACTTTTTCTTGGTACTTATAACAGCTCTGATCGGTGGATTGAGTATACGATTCGCATTCACGTAATTAGAGGCGCCAAAGTCAGATCTCGCTCCATCCTAAAAGTAACCTCGGGCCGGCACTGCCGTTTACACACGGAAAGTACAAACAAAAATTTGGCGTAGCGGCAAGTAAACTAGCCGGTCCATCAACTTTTGGAAAGCGCTTGCTTGCCGGCAAGTAGCAAGTGCACTTTCCTGTGGTTTACACATGACAAGTTTAGTGGCGGCAAGTACTTTCCTTTAGGGCCAAATTATGGACTAACTGGTAGGTGTCTGGTTGTTACCTACTAGCAGGTACTTTCTATTCTCTAGTGCATAGAAAGTACCTGCTAGGTAACAACCAGACGTTTACCAGTCAGTCCAGAATTTGGCTCTTAGTAAACTTCCCAAGTGTAAACGTAGCTTAAACAAATGATGGGGACAGTGAATTTATTGCGGAAAAAAATACCATGATTTTAAACTATATATCGATATCAAATAAGTACGTTAAAATGTTCAAAAAAGGGACGTGGCACCAAAAAAAATTTCGCCTGCGGCGGTTACCAGCGGTGCTATTGGAAATGATCTTATTATAGTGCTGCCCCCCCCTGAGGAACCTCGTAACGACGCCCATGATTACACGATTGGATAATATTCTGGCAAGTATCTTTCCCGCAACAAAAGT